CCCTGTTTGTCCCACTGTACAACTGTGCTCCTCGGACTCGTGGTTCCCTGTGTGTCCCACGGTAGGAGTGCTCCCCGGACTCGTGATACCCTGAGTCTCCCACGGTGGAACTCTGCTCCACAGGGTTCTCAGTGGCCCTTTTCTCAGGAGCAGATTGCCAGGCCTTCCTTCTGAGGTGTCCAGGACAGACTCTCAGAGAGCAGCCACATGTGAACTGTCCACGCCACTGTCTGGGTGTGAGTCAAGGGGCAGACCTGAGTCTGCACTCCAGCCACTAACAAGATCCAGACCGAGCGTGCTTCCCCCTACTCACATGCTGGACGTCGGCACTGCTGAAGCTGAATGTTGAGCCAGATGTTAACGCGCTGGCCCCAGGCTCCGGGGGCCTCCACCTCCCACAGGCGCCCCTGTTCCTCCGGATAGGCCAGCAAGAACCTCCTACAGACTGACAGCAAGATGCATCTGTGAATCCCAATGACCCACGCCTGCTGGAGCTTTTCCTGGCTAAACCCCACACTGTCCACTTCCAAGCTCCCCCTCACACCCTGTACCCAGCCCATGTGGGCACGCCGTCCGCCCTCCCACCATCCATCACCTCCCACCTTGTCCATTGTCCCTCCCCTCCTAAGCCTCATCCAGCCCCCTTTCCTGGGACGCTTGCCTGCTCTGCCATGTCCCGATTTCACAGGGGAGCCCCTCCACGTGACAGTGCCCCCAATCCTGCTACATGGCCTTGCTCTGGTCCCTGGCCCCTTCCTAACCCTTTCAGGACCCAGAGCTCTGCTGGAAGCTCACCAAGCACAACTGAAGCACTGGAAAGTGTGGCCCAGGCTGTCGGAAGGTGACTCACCTTGTCTGCTGCTCAGCTAGGCTGACAACCGCAACTTCATAGAGAAGCACACCTTTCGAGTTCAGCATGCTTCGACTCTTGGGGGTTTGTACCAGAAAGTGGCAGCAGAAAGAGAATTGCGCCCCATCCCCACCATCCCTACCTCCTCCCCTCACCTCAAAGGCTCATGCCATACACACTCCCCCACAAACACCAACAGCTGGGCCTGGACCGGGGCATGCACAGACGTCCGCCTCAGGAGAACAGCTGTGGGCAGAACCCTGGGTCCCAGCATCCAGAGCCTGGCTTAGCAGGGTGGCTGTGCCCAGCATGAGTGTGTGCTCTTGGGCCAAAGGTTTCCTAGCCTGTGGCGAGGTGAGTGGTTGTAGGGCCCAGCCGGAGCCCCACAATCAGGAAGGGGTTCGCTCAAGAAATGACAACTGGCCAATGAAGCGTGGGGTGGGGCAAGTCTGGACAACCCTGCGTTCTCCCGACATGCTGCCTGTTCATCCTCTAGGACCAGGCTCCACCAGAGCTCCAGAAGCAAAAGCTCAGCGCTCCAGCACCCTCCGCTGGCCAGCCGAAGCCCAAGACAGGGTCAGCAAGATTCAACGCTGGGTCCTGGGACCCGTGAAGGATGCCTGCCTGCAGGGTAGTTTCCATCGCCCGCCTCGCCCCCACACACACACACACCAGGAAGCTCCCTGGTCAAGGGCAGCCAAAGCCTGAAGCAGCCACACTAAGGCCCACCCACTCACACTGCCCAGGGCTCTCAGAAGAGAGGGGAGGGGGCACCGAGGTCACTGGACGTGGCTGTGAACAGAGGACAACCCATCTGGGCCCAGAAACCTTAGGACCTTAGGAGAGCTGACCAGCGCAGGGAGCCCAGGCCTTCGCAAGCACTCCAACTTTACTGATGCCATTTGCAAAGAGACAGACATGACTGTGAAGATCAAAATATTTTCACCCACTTTTCCTCATGACACCCACGGGCGGGACGGTGGGGGTGTTACATGGGAGCATAGGGTTCCTTCCTGTGCGTGCCCTGCGGGGTGGGCAAGTGTGAGTCTCATGGTACAACCGGTCTCATCAAGTTGGCGACCCTCCATCATGCTGGGGTGGGGGGCCTCCCCCACTTCGCCAAAGCCCTTAAGGGCGAACACTGAGGTTCCCCGAGGGAGAGTTCTGCCTCAAGACTCCATCAAATCCAAATGAGGTAGGGATTATTATAAGAGCTGTAAGAGCCCCCAAGAAAATGATCTTTGAATTAGAAACCAAACCAAAAAACAAACCCAAAGGCTGTATCAAATACATCCAACCTGACTTTCCAGCCTACTGCCTAGCCTACCAATTCCAGATCCGAGACTCTCAGTTTCTAACCTGCCACGTGACCTAAGGATTTGTGCTTGCCAGCCCTGTGACCACGTGAGCTGATCCTTAAAATCAGCATCTCTCTCTCTCCCTTTAAATACACAGGTATGGGTTAGTAATGTCCATGCAGTAACATGCAACTGCATCTGTACCCTTAGCCCCGTAAGATTTCTTGTTTGTTTTGAAATGAAAGTAGCTCTCCCTGGCAGCACTTGTGGAGAAGCATTGAACTGCTCACCACGAGGTTCAGAGTTCAAGCCCAGCAGCCTATCTGCTCTCTAAAAGACCTACAAGGCCTGAGAAACATCATGTGGAGTCAACATGAGTCAACATCCACTTGACGGCAGTGGGTTTAGGTTTAATGGTTTGAAGGAGTTTCCAAACCCCAAACCCAGACTCTTGTAGCACTGGGCCTCAGGAAGATGAGGCAGAGGCCATGGCTCTGCGTAAAGGGTCAGGCTTGGTGGCGGCAGGTGGCGGCAGCAGGGGGGCTAGGTGCGCTCCACTCCTGCCCTGCTCACTTCCTATGATGCGCCCCCACTCCCTGGCCCATCCCTCCCACCTCTGCCACCACCAGCAATAGCAGCAGCAGCCACAAGGACAAACAGAAGTGGGTTCCCATAGGAGGTCCCCCCAACATCTCAGTCATCACAATTCTACTTCACAAAATGGATCATGGATATTCAGCAATGCAAGCGTGTGTGTACACACACACACACACACACACACACACCCCACACACACACACCCTCCTTGCTTCTGTTCCTCAGGAGGCATCAAAGACAAAGGGTTAGGAGTCCTGGACGCATTTTGATCTTGCTTTCGGAAATGCCTGCACAGACTTCCCCTCCCAGGCTTTGAAATGCCTGGCCCCCTCTTTGCCCCCGCCCGCAGGGAAAGCCAGGAGGAGGCAGGAGCTACCAGCGGCGCAGTGTGCATTGTCAGCTTGCAGCAGAGGATCCTGGCACCGGGGGCCCAGTAGCCAGCAGCCTGCTTCCCCAGTTCAGAGCAGGTCTCTGGGGTCTGCTTCTCTGGCCGGGTTTGTTGGCTTATTAGTTCCAAACCCAGTTCTTCCCACGGTGAGAAAAGTTTTCCTCTTGTGATCCAAGGCTTGCTTTGGGGCTCAAGAAGGGAAGGTTTCTTGGGCGGGAGAAAACTCAGCTCCACGCGGGGATGCTGAGGGCTGCATGGTCTGCAGGCTCCGCGACCCCACCCAGAACCCCCGGAGCGTGTGTCCCACCCACCTCCATTGCCCATCTGTGCCAACACCATGGTCTTACCTTGGAGCATGGCTTGGGAAATGGGGCAGCTGACCCCCAGGGCTTCGTCCTCTCGAAAGGTCTCACAGAAGTCCTGCAGCAGAGCCACCCCCAGGCCTTGGCGGCGGTGCTGCCGCCGGATAAACACGGTATCGAAGACAGGAAGCACGTAGCACGCGCCGCTGCCATCGCCACACAAGCTGCCTGCAGGAAGAAGAAGTGGGCAATGTCCACACCCCCAGCCCTGCGGAGCCCCGCCACCAGGACTCCTGGGGGTCAGCTGGCTTCAGTCAGGCCGTTTTTTTGGGTTTTTTTATTTATTTATTTTTTTTTGGGTTTTTTTATTTATTTATTTTTTTTTAATTTTTTAAACATTTTATTAGGGGCTCATACAACTGTTATCCCAATCCATACACACATCAATTGTGTAAAGCGCATTTGTACACATTTCTCAAAACATTTTCTCTCCATTTAAACCCCCGACATTAGGTCCTCATTTTTCCCCTCCCTCCCCGCTCCCCTCTCCCACATGAGCCCTTGATAGTTTATAAATGGGTATTTTGTCATATCTTGCCCTGTCCGACTTCTCCCTTCACCCACTTTTCGGTTGTCTGTCCCCCAGGGAGGAGGTCACACACAGTTCCATGTAATCGGTTCCCTCTTTCCTACCCATTCTCCCTTTACCCTCCCTGTTTTGCCACTCACACCACTGGTCCTATAGGGCTCATCCATCCTGGATTCCCTGTATTTTCAGTTCCTATCTGTACCAGTGTACCTCCTCTGGTCTAGCCAGTCTTGCAAGATAGAATTCGAGTCATGGTAGTGGGAGCGGGGAGGAAACCTTTAGGAACTAGAGGAAGGTTGTATTTCTCATCATTGTTACATCGCACCCCAGTCAGGCCGTTTAAACACACACACACACACACTATGATTGGCCACTAGATTGCTGCACATACTGGAAAAGGAACCCCGGGTGACTGCCCCTCTTCCCATAAGGCTTCTCACTCACTCAGACCCTCATCTCCCCCTCTTCTCTGCTAATTCACAGAAACCTGGAGCCAGCAGGGGAGGTCCGGGCAATCTCAAAGTCCTGCCAGCAAAGGTGTGGGCGAACGGGCCTGGGAAGCAAGCCAGCATCTTCAAGGGGACTTGTTCTGGTCACTCTAACAAAGTGCCCTTTACAGAAGTCGGATCCCCAGAGAGAAGCCGTTCCCGGTCGTACCGTGGCCCTGCTGCAGCAGAGAGAGCAGGAGCCAAGACAGGGGAAAGCCCTGAACGCTCCACCATGAGCGTAGCTTCCCGACAGCCAGGGTCCCCACAGCGCCGTGGCCACACCTCCACAGAGACTTGACATGCGCCTTCGTCCTCGCCTTCACCGGAATACCAGCTCCCCAAAGAGCCTGCTGCCTCATCTGGCTACTTCCGAAGTACACATCGGGCCGTGTCTCAGATGCCATGGAAGCCGCGAAAGCATCATGGAGCAACACGACAGGAACAGCTGCAAGGAGCCTGTCCCTGCTGGAAGGCCTGGGCCCACTTCGAGGGAATATGGTGCCCACGGGGCAGCAGAGGGTCAGAGAAAGACATCTTCACGGCACAGCACTGGGAACCCTGTGTCTCTCCGCACTACTCTCCGTTCTGATGCCCGGTTGTGGGCGCCGGGAGACTGAGTGCCCTGTGGGACGCTGCCTCGTACAGGGACCAGAATGATAGGAGGAAGGGAGCACCCCACGCACTGTTCGTCCCCCTCATCCAAGGGGACCAGGGTGCTGGTGTTGCTGTCCTCAAGGGAGCCCCATTCCGGCCCTTCTGGAGGGAAGGGTAGCTGCGGCTCCTGGAGACAGCTCAGCCTGCAGTCCGGGTACGGCAGGGGCAGCTGCTTCCTCGGGGCCTAAGAAGGACTGAAGGATTGGAGCTAAGGACCATGCTGGCAGGGTGCTCCTGGCTCCCCTGGGACCTCCTCCCCAGAGCTCTAGGGCTAGTCCTAGTCACTGCTGGTGGCTTCTTGCCCTTGCCCTTGCTCGACAGGCATTTTTCATTATACTAGCTGACTCCAGTTAACTTCTGGTCCTAGATGGGAGTTTTTCTGATGAGCAGGGACTTCTTACCTTGAAGCAAAGGTAGACTCTTGCTCAAAACTGAAAATAGCAAAAGAGTCTCCCTCCCCGCCCCCAAAGTATTTTCTTCCAACGTAAATCTCCTGTTAACAGCATTGGACTCATGCAGAAATCTCAGCCCAAAGGCACCCAGATCAGCACCGGGGGTCAGCAAGCCTAGCCCCCAATACAGTGCCAACGGACACGCCACTCCACAAGCGAGCCTCCTACCCCCAAGCACTCAGCCGGACTCCATCAGGGGGCCGGGAAGCCCACAGGTCTGTTTCATGCCATGGCTCTCAGGTCTGCCACGGCTGCTCCTCTGGCAGGCCTCTGCTGTCACAGCTTGCTGTCTCTGGGCCCCGAGGCTCACTGCGCAGGGATCCAAAGTCCAAAGAGACGATGAGTTCACCCCTGGCTCTCCTTCCTTTGCTTCTGCTCATTTGTGTCATGAACATGTTTTGCCTTTTTTTTTTGTAAAAAAAGTGAGTGTGTACTGAGTAGATCATCACGTTTACATTCCACGATGCCATCCCATCAATCATCGGCCCTACTTCCTTCCTATATTTCCGGTTTCCATCCCTCCTTATTTCCTAACCCTGTACTTTGTCCTTGTGTTGATGCGCCTGCTGATGTGAAAGGGCCAATCACTGGAATGCAGGGGTGAGTTCCGTCCCAGACCTAAAGAGCGACAAAGGGCCAGCGTCTTGAGTCCACCAGTATCTATCCGACCAGCAAGCCTGGCCTCTTTTGATAATTCTGAGTTCAGTTGGACATCTTTCTTCCACGACCTTCTCATGTGCTCCTTTTCAGAGCACCATCCAGTCCGGCACCTTCTGGATCTTCTGGTTTCCAGGTTGAGAGGGTGATGCTTGGTTGGTCCATTGGTCCCTGGACTAACTTTTCCATACTCTTTAGATGTTCATTATTTTTTCCTCCAGATGAGGAAATGGTTTCACCTTCCCCGGTTGCTCAAAAGCTTTTAGGAACCCAATTACTACTCATCCAAGTAAAATGTAGAGTACTGTGTTTATGAACTAGTTTGACAGTTAAGTTTTTGTGTCAGCTTGGCTGGGCTGGCATCCTCAGTAGTTTGGTAGTAAGGCCTCACCTCTAAGGTGCAGGCCACACACAGCCTCACAATGTTCATGTTCACATAGCCTATTTTATATCTATGAACAGATGCAATGGCTCTGTTCTCCTCCTCCTCCTGCTCCTCCTCCTCCTTCTTCCTGTTGACTTGGATCCTCTCTGGTTTCTTGGGGCTTGGGACCTGTGGCCTGCAATGTGGTCTGCCAACCCGGGATGCTGTCAGCAGCCTTCCACATCACCTGCCTTGGATCCACTCAACCCTGCCTCCACCCGCCTGCAGCCTTTCTACCTCCTGCTTCATCCTCCGGCCTCCTGGCTCTCCCCACTTGCAACTGCACACGTTGGGACGCTCTCCAGTCCTGCATCTGACCCACAGATTGGACCTGCCAATCACTCTGCAGCTGTGGGGGCCAGTTTCTCAACATGGATTTCTTGAAGAAGAATTTCTTTGTTATACATATAAGAGTTTCACCGGTGTAGTTTCTCTAGAAAACACAGCCTAACACACTGTGTTGTGCTAATTGGCCTCAATGTCCCCTGAAATTCTGATTCCCCCAGGCTCAGCAACTCCCTTCCTCAAGGTATCTGGCCATGATGCCCAAGTCTTCATGACTTTGTCCCCTGTGTGCTCACCACATTCGGGGGTACATCTGCAACAAAGTTGAAGGCACATCTACAAATAGCCTCCACCAAATCTACATAAGGGTATGGGTCTACGCCTGCTCACCTCCCGCACCTGCTCAGACAGCCTGTCTACCCGAGCTTCTGTTTGTAAACAGCTCCTATTGTAGGATGGTGTGCATACCAGTATCTGCCTCTGTTGTCTTCATTTGTTTGTCTTTATCTCTAAATGTGTGAGGATGAGCCACACTGCTTTCCACAGTGGTTGTACCGTCTTACAGTCTCACCAACAGTGTAGGAGCCATCCAGTATCTCCACATCTCACCAGCAATTGTTAGCTGTTTTTTTGAAATGTGCTATTAATTCTGGGCTGCTATCTTATTGGGGTTTTGATTTAGTTATGTCTCTCAAACAGCCAGTGACCACAACTATTTATCTTCCGGTCACTTGGTTTTGTGGGGTTTTTTCTTGCGGAGCTGTTCATGTTTTCTATACATTATGCAGGCTCCCCTTTCTTGGTGGAAGTGAGCTCCCCTACCCTGGTTCTGAGATAGCTCATTCTATGCCCAGCCAAAGGACAAGCTTGACCAAAGCCCATGCTAGATTTTCCAGGCTTTTAGAATCACAATTCTAGAACAATACACACAACTGAATCCACAGTATCTGCCCCATATTCCCTTACCCAAACCCATCAGGAAAAGAGTCATTTGGTGGGACTTACAAAGACTATGGTTAGAAGAGGCATACTAAGGAATTCACAACACTGTAAGGAAATGAATAAATAGGCACTACGCTAGGTAAAAGAAGCCAGATGTAAAAGGCAGCATATTACCATATATGGTTCCACTCATATGGAATTTCCATATTAGTCGACTTGGATTAGTCAAGCCGGTGGAGACAGAGACCCTTAGATCAGGGACTGCCTAGGGCTAGAGTTGAACAGACTTTTGGACCTTCCAGTCAGAAGCTCCACTGATAACCTCTTCCGCATCAAAGCAACACGCACACCTCCACTGACAAATGCATGATGAATGTACAAAAATGAACCAAAGAAAGTTTTGAAGGTTTGAAAAATGTGCCATGGTTATATAAGAGGTTAACATTGTGAGCTGATGAGTGGCAGGTGGTGTAGCGCGTATGCGCTGGGCTGCAATCCACAGGGCTAGCAGTTCGAAACCACCAGCAGCTCTTCGGGCAAAAGACTGGGCTCTCTACTCCCATCAGCAGTTACAGTCTCGGGGGTCATTATGCGTCAGCACGGACTCATTGGCACTGAGATTGGTTTGGTGTACTATTTTTACAATTTGTCTGTAAAGATAGCACTAGTTTAAAATGGAAAAAAGAATAAATGCTTTACCAACTTGTTCTTAGGACCAATCACACCTTCAGGCTGGTCAAATAAAGCCCATTTGCAACATGAATTCCCAAAACTAAATCTCATTACAATCCAGCCACGAACAAGGGCTGAGGCACAGGGCACCTGAAGATGCTGGCTCACACTGACTCTCTTCTACTCTTAACAGAGACACAAAGCACAGGGAAGCACGCGACATATCACAGGGCAGTGTTGGGAGCCCCAGACAATCCTATCCTATGTAGCCATTGTATAGACATGGCAACCCTTTTGGTCAGTAACAATTGTCCAAAGCTGGGCTCTCATCAGCGTATGAGATGTCAGCTGACCCCAGAGCAAGCCTAGATCCACTCATGCCACAAGAGTCGATGCTGTCAAACCTGGGCAAAGAGGACCATGCCCTCGGGGTCTCTTCTTGTGGCCATTCCATGTCCAGAAGCACTGTCACCATGGAAAAAGTGAGACAGCTGCCAAGTGTTGGCGAAGATGGAGAGCAATAACACTCTTACTTCTCCCTGGTGAGGGTCTACAGTATGACAATCGTGCTGAGTACAGGTAAGCATTACCTAGAGAGGTGGAGCTTGTGACTCTACAGCTAACAAGTCCATTTCTAGGATATCGCCGAGGCCGGTATTTCTCAAACGTTTCGTTCTCATCAAGCCTAAGATCTTCAAAGACCTTTCTCCTCCCTAAGGATCCTCCACAATTAAACATAAAAGAAGAGTAGAACTGAGCTTCGGAAAGCCATACACCATTGTGATAGCTAAAATTTATTTGCTCCCTAAGAACACGCTCTCCTCCCCACTGCCCTTGGGAATGCATGTCATAGAGCAATGGTTCTCACACTTCAAATTCCATGGAGGAATTTCGTGCCGAAAACCCTCAGAGTAATAGGCCCACACACCAACCCTCAAAGGTCCTGGGAGAGCCCCATAATTCCTGTCATCCAAAATACATGAGGCTCTCAACAGGGAACCTGCTGGAACATTCTAGCAAACTTACGTAGCAATCAAGGAGCTGCATGTTGCTCCTGACCAAAATTATTCCAGCCCAAGCAGAGACTTTACAAACTAAATTTCTCTATGTATTATTATGAGATGAAATAGCTTTTAACATCCATTAATAGTCATAATGTGGGATATGGAAAGTATGAATACAGGAAATTTGGAAGTTATCAAAAAGGAAATGGAACACATCACGACTATTATCCATCTTAGTGAGATGAAATGAACTTTCATTGACCAATCTGAACCAAGCAATCGTGTTATTTACTAAGCAGGGAATGACAGATTCAAGAATGTTGTTGCATTCATTATCAACAAGAGCATTTCATGATCTACCTTGAAGAGTGCGTGAATCCAAATTTTAGTTGATGAAAGGCTACAAACTATTGGGGTCTAGGAGGGTTATAGTTCAGAGTGCATGGGGACAGGGGGAGTGGGGGGGGGTAAGAAGTAGGGGCTTAGTTCAGTTGCACTTGACCTACCATCCTGTTGCCAAACTTTGCTCAAGTTCACACAGCACTGCAGTTCTGTGTCCCTGGGTATGTCTAGAAAGAACATGCGCTCCCCCACAAGCAGAGCATTAATTATGTTAGTACAATTAAGTAGTTAGAGGTAGTCATGGAGACAGAGAAAATTACTGAGGTCTCAGAGCAGGGAGGACGTTTCCTCTGATGAGCACAGGGACTGAGAGAGAAACAGAGAGACCCAGTTCCCAGCCCACTTTCAGACACGCAGAGTTTCAGTTCAGCAGCCTGGTACGACAAAGGCAGACTCCTCTTCACCGCAGTCCATCTCCTGAAGCCCCTTTAGATGGATCTGTACTGTGTACCTTTTGGTGAGCAGCTGAGTCCACTAATCATATGAACTCAACACACTACAAAAAACCCATGGCCTTTTATTTCTTTTTCTCCATGGATTTTTAAAAAATTATTTTATTGGGGCCTCATACAACTCTTACCACAATCCACACATACATCAATTGTACAAAGGACATTTGTACATTCATTGCCCTCATCATTCTCCAAACATCTGCTCTCCACTTAAGCCCTTGGCATCAGCTCCTTATTTTTCTCCCTCCCTCCCCGCTCTCTGTGCCCCCAGATCCTGAAATATCTGTTACCTTTCGTTTTGGTGGTGTAAAACCCAACAGCCGCTCCATTTCTCCACAAAATTTTAGCTTGCTCCATCACAGAATGAGGTAAAAAAAACATGCCATCGGCATCCAGATTCCTCTCCAATCTTCCAAAAATAATGACATTTAGAATGAAAAGCACAATCCTCTCCCCGAATGACTGAACCTTGGAAGAAAAAAAGAATGAGGAATTAAGTGAAACCAGAGAGGAAAATCAGACACAGTAGATTGTGAACTTGGACTTGACCATGAGGCCAGGTGCATGCTCCACTAGCATAAGAATCGGTTGAGTCTCCAGAGCCAAAAGTTGTGTCAGCTTTCATCCGCTGACCTTTCACATCAACCATGCCTCCGGGAGAGGGGCTGTGCCAGAGCAGACTCCTGAGTCCCACGGGCCACAGTCATGAAAGGAGGTCTGCAGGGGAAAACAAAGCCACACTAATGAAGCAAGCAGTTTTCACCAAGGTGACCAGGGCACCTACCCCAGCAGATCACCAGCTGTGTTGAATGGCAGGGGGGTCCTGGCACCCAAAAGGAAGGTAAATACATGGAGAGAGTAAATGCTGCACCCAAACAACAAATCGACTGGCTTGTGACCGATGTGAGAGAGCACTGTCGGTTACGCTCAGAGAATGCCTGGGATTCCCTGCCCGCTGTGTTCTGACGCTGTAAAATAGAACCCTCTCTCTTCCATGTCAAAAGGTTCCATTGATCTTGCCATCGTCAACATAAGTCCACTGCCTGCTAAGCGTCCCATGCAATCTTTCACAGCTGCTGTTCTCAATTTGACCTCACATAGACAACGGGAAAAGAGCACAATGTTCAAAACAGACAGTTTACCATTAAGATGATTACTATTATTATTATTTTGCTTCAAAGAAGACTTCAAGAGAGAGTTTGAGTTTAGAGTTCAAGGTTTACGGCATCCCCAGGTTATAGAATTGATGATCATTGGACTTCGGTTCAGATCTCGTGCCTTGAGGGAGCCCAGTGAACGGTGGCTCAGGACTGTCATAGACTTAGTATTGTAATGCTCCCCTGGCTTTAGTGTGACATGTATGACCTGATATGCACGGCTCTGCTGCTGCGAATGGATGTTACCCATAGCTTTCTCTGGCATCAGCCCCATCATTTGTGCAGCGTCCTGTCACTTTGGAGTTTATTCGGTACAAGTCAACAGTTCACGCATCGTGGTTCTAGGCAGCCTACACTTGTATAATGCCCTTTTCTCAACAGTGCTTTAAATTCTACACCATTGGCTAATAAAATGATTTTTTTTTAAAGAAAAAAAAATTAAAGCTAAAAGAAGAAAAATGCAAAAAAGGGAAATAAATAAATAAATTGCCCGATGGCCATGATGATGACTGATAATGTTCTCTAACATAAAATGACAATGACGTCTCTCCAGTGAGTCAAAGATACATATTAAGTATAAATATACATGGCAGTTACTTAATTTCATGTCAACTTGATACACAGTGAAGGGATGGAGTCTAGCTTGTCAATCAGGTTACAGCCTGAAGACCCCTCCTTGTGGGCGTGGTCTACTCATGAGGATTCAGGGAGCAGCAAGGGAACCGAGCAGCGAGGTCCCCAGGGAATGCTGAAGGTGGACTTTGGGGCCAGGGCATGGTGCCCCAACAGACTGGATTGGAAAACACTCCTAAAGGCCAACAAATGATCTTTGAACTAACTACAAGCTTTTCTTTCTTGTTGTGTTTTGTTTTATTTTTTCTCAGTGGTTCGTTGTTGTTGTTGTGTTGTATATTGTTGCTTGGTTTTGTTCTGTCTTGTTTTAGTGCATGTTATTATCTCTGCAGGTCTGTCTAAATAAGATAAGCTGGATGAACAATCTGGAGAAAAAAACAACGGGACCGACAGTTCCGGGGGACATGGGAGAGGGGGA